AAAAATGCACAAAAATATGTAAAAATAAACTATTATATATATATATATATATATATAATATATAAGAAGAAACCCTGAAATAAGCCAGAGGGGGAAAATCACCTAACCTCGCAAGGCCCGGTGATGCAAATTACCCCTGACTTCTCAGCAAGCAAGCGATCAAGAAGAGAGGGGAGCGAGATATGTAAAATGTTGAGAGCATAAAACCAGCAAGGTAGAATTACCACCCTGCAAAAGTATCCTTCAAAAGGGAAGGAGGAAAAAAAAAAAAGGAAGGAGAAATGAAGGTATAGGCAAACTTAAATTGAGGGAATTTGTTGTTGACCTGCCTTGCACGAAACATCAAAAGAAGTTCTTTAGAGAAAAGAAAAATGATCAAGGGCAAAATGCGGCTGTACATAAAGGCAAGAAGTGTAGCAACGAAGGCAAGCGAAATAAATAAAATTTTAAAAAATTTTCTTAGTTGCTCTAACAAGATACATTTTTCAAAATAATAACAACCACGTATTTGATAATGCCAATGTGTAATGTAACAGTGGATTTGACAATTCTTAGGTATGTATCATCTCAATGCAATGAGGAACAATGAGTTAGGTGATAAGGAAGGAACTGGGCTTATTTCCTTGTAAGATTATTGTTATTATGGTACCAAAGCAATTATACAGTGTAATTTGAAGGCAGATGGGTATTCATTGTAACTGTCTATTGCAAATACTGGGAGAGCCACTAAGGAAAGTGAAACAAAACTGATATGCTGAGAGAGGAAGGGAGTGGAATCCATAAAATGCTCAGTTATAACTACTTAAGACAGGGCCCTCCCTGGTAGCGCAGCGGGTTACAGCACAGCATGAAGAAGCTAAAGCCACTTCCGCATGAGTTCGATTCCCTCCTGCCCCAGAGGTGACCACATGGCGTGGCAGACCTCTCCTGACACGCACGCTGCTCCCCTCAGCAGTGTACTTTGTCGATCTGCCTGTTCTGCTCCCCACTCTGTCTCTGGTGAAGCCTCTCACCAACCCTGCACCTCCGGCCTGTACCCCAGTTCTGTATGCATAAGTAAATAAGTAAATTTATATATATATATAAAACTACTTAAGACAGAAAATGGGGAAAACAAAAACAAGAGAAAACAAAGACAAGCAGTAAAGAGAAAACAAAGACAAGCAGTAAACAGAAAACAGTAACATATGGTCATATCATTATTCATTTTTGAATGTCAGTGGTCTAAACACACACAATAAAACAGAGATTGTTGGAGAAGATAAATAAAAAAAAAATGCAACCCCAACTATATGTTCACTTCCAGAAAGCCACTTTAAACATAAAGCCAAGTAGATTTTAAAAAAACAGAGAAATATATGCCATACTGACATCGAAAGCATGCAGGAATAACTACATTAATTTCAGACAGTGCAACTTCCAAGAAAAAGAAAGTTATGCGTGGGCTTTCCTGGTGATGAAGGGGTTAAAGACATATTTCTATCAAGCTATCACCAGCCACTGCAGCACCAATTTGATCCCCAACCAAAAACTTGACCCACATAGTGCAGCAGACCTCTCCTGACTCTCCCACTGCTCCCCTCAGCAGTATATGTCTGTAGATCTACCTGTTCTGCTTCCCACCCTCTCTGGTGAATTTTCTCACACCTGTACACCCGTGGCTTATACCCCAGCTCTTGTAGGGTAGAAGATATTATGCAATGATAGGGTCAGTTCTTCAAAAAGAACACAATCCTTAACATATATGCGACTAACAACAGAATATCAAAATATAAGGGTCAAATCAGAGAGAACTACAGAGGGAAATAGATGATCCACTCTCAAAGTCAGAACTAATTGCTACTGTGTAGTCGTTACTGCATTTGCCTATCACAGTTAGGCTGTAACAGTCAGAAAAGGACAGATCTGGAAGTCAAGAAACCAATAGGAACAAAGTCGCAGTGTATCTCCCAGAGCCCTTTGCACTAGGGTGGGACCCAGTAACCAAGTTCTGCCAAGTGGGATCTATTGTTTGCCAGTTTGCAGGATCCTTAAGAGATGCTGATTCCATGCCTCTGGACGTTCTCTTCCCTTTTACTTTCTCTTTTCTGGGCTATAGATGTGGTGGTTGGAGCTGAAATTGCTGTTTTAGGGTTATAAGGTAACTGGCTGTGGGGACAACCTAAGGTCAAAGAATAAAATGGAAGGAAGCTGGGTCTTTAGTACCCTATAAGCACATCTCTAAACTTTTATGAAAGAGAGAAATAAGTTTGCTTTAAACATTCTAGCTTTGGGGTTTTTAATCATGCACAGCAGAACTGAAGTCTAGGTAACCCCAAACCAATGAAGAAATAGATACAGGAGTGAGATTACACTCATTATATCATTTTTAAATTAAATCAGTTCGACCTGTAGCCAATGATGTGGAGTTCTTATATATATATAATATATATTATATATATTTTTATATATATAATATATATATAACAGATTATTTTAACATCATTTTGTCCATTTTTTAAAATCTCAATTGTAATCCCCGTGGGTTTCCCATCACCAAGTCACCCGTGTGCCATCACCATAGTCCAGTGCATTTCCCTCACCCCCATTTTTGATCCCATTCTCCACTCCATCCCCACAAAATGTCTCTGGTATATGGCTGTTCATTATTCTTGTTATTTCCTCACCTGGTCCATTATACTCCTGCTATGAGTGAAACCATCCGGTATTTTTCTTTCTCTTTCTGGCTTATCTCGCTAAGCATGATCTTTTCCAGCTCCATCCAAGTTGCTGCAAAAGACATGTGTTTCTCTTTTTTGGTTGCTGAGTAATATTCCATTGTATATATGTACCACATCTTTTTTATCCAGTCATCTACTTTTGGGCATTTGGGCTGCTTCCATGTTTTTCCAATTGTAAATAAAGCAGCAATAAACATGGGGGTGCAGGTATCTTTTTCAGTCAGTGTTTTTGTGTCTTTTGGGTAGATACCTAGGAGTGGGATTGCTGGGTCGTAGGGAAGCTCCATGTTTAGCAGTTTGAGGAACCTCCAAACCGTTTTCCATAGTGGTGATGTGGAGTTCTTTTTTAAATACCCTGAGTCTAGGTCTTGAGCTTAAAGCACAGGCTGAAGAGTAGACATCTAGCTAGCCAGGGGATCCCTAAGTCTGGTGTGTACCCAGGGCTTTAAAAAAAAGATTTATTTATTTGTGCATACAGAACTGGGGTACAGGCCAGAGATGCGGAGGGTGAGAGGCTTCACCAGAGACAGAGCGGGGAACAGAACAGGCAGATGGACGAAGTACACTACTGAGGGGAGCAGCGGGCGGGTCAGGAGAGGTCTGCTGCGCCCTGTGGTCACCTCCGGGGCGGGATCAAACTCATGCTGAAGCGGCTTTAGCTTCTTAGTGCTGTGCTTTAACCCGCTGCGCCACCAGAGAAGGCCACACCTAGGGATCTTACTGGGACACACATCCGGACTCACTGGGTTTCTGCTCTTGTAAAGAGCTCCCCGATGCGGACGCTGCTGTTCCATGCCAGTAAAGAGCTATTTCCTAGCCTGCTGAAGTAAGTTGGAGACCAGAGATGAAGCCTCCGAGCTTGTGCTGGGTCCTGCCACAGGTGTCCTTACTGCCTGGGTTCTTGGGGAGACGTCAGTAAGACCCTGGGGGAACTTCAAAACATGCTGAGAGCTGTGATCCTCCCTCTGCCTCCCACAGGATCCAGGCTCTGGGTGTGGCCTGAGAACTGGGAGGTTTGAAAGATGTTGAAAGATTCTAAGTGGCAGCCAAGGTGAGGATCCAGTGGCCCGGAGGGCCAGTGTTCCAGTGCAAATTATTTTTACTGTTAAGATTTATTTGTGCATACAAGACTTGGGGTGCAGATTATAGGTGTGGGGGTGAGAGGATTCACCAGAGACAGTGGGGAGCAGAACAAGCAAATCTAAAATATACCGCTGAGGGGAGCAGTGGGGAGACGGGAGAGGTCTGCTGCACCACGTGGGTCAGCTCCCTAGCTGGGGATCGAACTCATGCTGCAGTGGCTGTGGGTAGCTTCATTGTGCTGCGCTTTAGTCTCTTGCACCAGCAGGGAGGGCCCTCCAGTGCAAATCTTATTTATGGGATGAAGTAAGAACTGTGGGAAGTACTTCCTGCACTCGGGGCTATACTGGTAAAGGGTGAGAGCTGCACCCCTGAGTGTTAAGACAAAGTGGGGGGTGGTGGTAAGTAACTTTACATAGAAACAGGATCTGTGACAGTGCTGTGGGGAGCCTCAGTGGTGTCTGCGGCAAAAGGAAGAGCAGGAATGTCACCCCCAGACCCTCACTTGCCAGCCTTCCCTGGGCTCAGCAGCCCAGATAAGGAACACCCGAGGCTGAGTTGCTCCCTCAGTTGGTGACAGCCTTCCCTGCTTGCCTAGTCCTGGGGAAAGGAACAGGCCAGTCTTTGGTTTTGGATGGTTCTGAGGGCAAAGTCCTTGAAGTAGATTAACCAAGACGGCAGTAACAACAGGCATGTGTTGAGTTCTAAGTGCTTACCAGGTATCACCCTCACTGCATCTTAGGGAGGAGGTGCTATTGTTTTGCCTGCTTACAGGAGAAGAAACTGTGGCACAGAGGTTCAGTTATTTCACTGCAAATGATGCAGCACCCACCCCACCCAGCCATTCTGGCTCCGAAGCCTGTGCTCACCGTCATCAGGTGCCAAAGGGTGCCCCTTCTTGCCACTCCTGCCCCCCAGTGTGGCTGGACGTGGCTGCAGCATCACTCGGCAGAGCCTGTCACGCTCAATCCACAACCCAACAGCGCCATTAAAAAGGCTCTTCACGAACCACCAGCTAACTAGAAGGAACGCTCGCAATCTAATGAGCCAACGTGGATAATGATCCTCAGTCTTTATTCAACCTCTGGGAAGCAACCGAGGCCCCCAAATGAAGCTGCAGGTTCCAGGGCACAGCAGCCTCTGCGCGCCCCCCCCACCCCCATTTCTCAGGGCGGTGCCAGGGCGGCGCGCGGGGCCGGCTCAGCGGATGGTGTACTTGTCCCACTTCTTCTCGGGGTCGTAGGGCTCCCAGCGGCTGGCGGGGAAGATGTGCTTGTTCTTCTCGTACCAGCTCCGCAGCACCACCTTGCCCGCGTGCGACTCGTCCTTCTCCATGGTGGCGTCGCTCAGCAGGCGCACGTCGTCGTGGACGTCGAAGTTGAAGAGCGGCCCGCTCTTGCCGCGCGCCTTGGTGACGATGAAGTCGTAGAAGGTGTGGTAGTGCGGCAGGATCAGGTCCTCCTTGACGTACATGAGCTGCTCCACGCCGGCCGAGCGCAGCTCGCGGAAGTCCTTGCGCAGCCCCTGCAGCGCCTTCTTCAGGAACTGCTGCACCGTGCCGCCCTTGTGGATGCGCGCCGTGCGCCGGTGGCCCGAGCCGTCCCAGTAGCTGAAGGTCACCTCCATCTCCTCGCGCTTCACCTTCTCGCGCTGGGCCTCCCACTCCTGCCGCAGCTCCTCCCGCAGCCGGTTTTCCTCCTCTTCGCGCTCGCGGTCCGGCAGGAAGCTGGTGTCCACGTCGGGATTCTTGCCCAGGTTCCTGCGCTTGCGCACCGCCGGCCCGGGCGCGGGCCCCTCGGGGGGCGCGGCTCCCTCGGAGCCAGCACCCGCGCCCGCGCCCTCGCCGCCCTCGTCGCCCTCGTCGCCCTCATCCAGCGTGAAGGACAGGCTGCAGATCTTGCGCTTCTGCTCCTGCTTGCGCGCCTTCTCGCGTCGCGCCTCCAGCTGCAGCCGCCGCGCCTCTAGTTGCTCCTTCCTGGCCAGCTGCATCTCGCGCTCCTTCAGCAGGGCCTCCTGCCTGGCCTTCATGTCGTTCAGGGTCACCAGCCCCACCGTGCTCGACTTCAGTTCGGCCTCCACGGCGTCGTAATGAGCCGAGAACTTCTTGTCCACCTTGGACTTCATGATGGTCTCTTCGGCGATGCGCTGCTTCAGCACGGCCATCTGCTCCTTCTGTTTCTCGCGCTTCTTGATCAGGTGCATGGCCCGGCCCGCCTCGCGCATGGTGCCTTTGTACTGAGCCATGGCGGCCCCCCGGCAGGCACACAGCCGCGCCGGCCTCCAGTGCCGTCTCCACGCCCGGGGCTGGCGGGGCTAACGCTTGGCTTCTGCATCGGTGAGAAAAACACGCGCGTTAGAAAGGGCCCGTCAAACGGCTGGGGCAGCGTCCAGCTCCCTGCAGTCGGTTGGTGACCGGGAGCTCTCTGTAGCTTCGCCTCCCGCCTCCCTGCCCGTAGCCAGTGGACACCACTGAGCAGTTGCAATGTGCCTAAGTGCCCACTTACTGTGTTCCCGTTCATTGAAATTTAAGGAGTCACCATGGCTATGGCTTTGCACTGGACAGAGCAAGACTGGATTTGGCCGCTGCAAGCGGAGAGGGGCGGTCCATGGCCCACGCCCTCACCTGCCCAGGTAAGCTCATCTGTCTAGATGCCTGCTTAGGCAGACATGCGGGAGTCGGTGCTCACCTGGGCCTGCATTTGGGTGTGTTTTACTATGACCAGTAGAGGGGCACCCTCAGCGCTCCCCAAGGCTGATCCCTGAGGCCAACGTGCCTAGTTCATCAGAGCCCTGGTGATGATGTAGGCGAGACGGGAATCTTCAGGGCTTCCACAGAGGGTGGCACTGTTGGCCGAGTGCCCAGAATATGTTGCCGGTGAGGCCAGATCGCTAGCTGCTGTCCTCACTTCTTCCGAAACGGTCATTCTGCAGAGGAATTCTAGGTACAACCGCCCTGCCCAGTGTTCCAGGCACAGCGGTGAGGCGGTCCCCTAATTCCACCAGTCTGCTTGGGCCGTCCTGCCTCAGACGTCCCATCTCCGTCACCTGCCGGACACTCATCCCTCGAGCATTCACGTGCCCTCCACCTCCTCGACCTTCCACCATGCCCTGGGGAATGCGGCGCCTTGCAGCCAGCTGAATGGCCAGCCGCTCTTAGACAGCCCGTTGGCCTCCTGCAGTGTTCTGGAACCCGGCCAGTCCCGAAGGCCATGTCTCCCCGAGGCTCCCTAGAGCAGATGTTGTTCCCCATCGTCGAAACATGCTATGAGTGTCTTTGCTCTTGCAGAAACATCTCTGCTTTCATTAAAGCCCCCAGAGCCTGGTGGTGCAGGGGTCAAAACACCGCATTATGAAACTGTCCACAGCCACTGCAGCACGAATTCATTCCCTGGCCAGGGAGTGACCCACAGGGCACAGTCGACCCCTCGCTGCACCCCCCAAGCGGTGTATTTCAGTGAGTCTGCTTATGGCATTCCCCACTCTGTCGCTAGTGAATCCTCTCACCCCCACACCTCTGGCCAGTACCCAGTTCTTGTATGCCTAAATAAATCTTAAAAAACAAGCAAAAAGCTCCCCCCGCCTCCCTAGGTAGTGCAGCCGGTTAGGGCGCAGCGCTGTAAGCGAGCCTCAGCACCTTCATTGCGAGTTTAATCCCCGGAACTGGAGGTGACCTGCGTGGCGCAGCAGACCTCTCCTGTCTCTCCTGCGGCTCCCCTCAGCAGTGGATTACAGTACACCTGCTGTTCTGTCTCTGTCTCTGGTGAACCCCTCTCAACACCCCCGCACCTCTGGCCTGTACCGCAATCTGCATGCTTAAATAAATAAGAAATCAACCAAACAAAAACCCTCCCTGCAGTGTGTGCAGCCCGTTGGTGCCACCAACGGATCCAGGTCTCATGGACTCCGCCCCACCCCAGATACTGGAACTGCAAATCCCATCAATACCGAGGAGAAGCACGCCGGGACGTGGGGGCGGAGCTGAGTGGTACCCAGCTGGCGCTCCAGAGGTTGCGAAAGGCTTTCTGTTGTGGCCTTCTGGTAATCCCTGTAACTGGCACCACCTGTTTACTCACTCGAGCAAAGCAGAGAATGAGTTCAAAACAGAGCATGCCGCTCCGGTGTCCACCAGGAAATCGATCCAACTGTCCCCCACATTGAGTGTTATCCGGGGCTCCAAGGGGGTTATCGTAGTGGGCTTTTCTTCGTCTGAATCTCTCCTGTGTGCTACCACGAGTCTCCTTTCCTCGGCAGTCGGCTCTTGATGTCTTCTGCCTTGTCCACATTCCCTGACTGCATCTGGGTCTCTGCTCTGTGCCATCATTTGCCTCCTTTCCTCCCTCCTCGGTTCTGGATCCCTTTACTCCTTCTGTATTCCCTCCTGTAGCCCCTGCGCGAAGCACCATTTTGAGGTGCCGCTAGCCTTCTTTCTTGCCTCCTGTCATTATTTCGTCTCCTGTCGCCCTGTAATCTGGGACAGTCATGCTTCCAATGTCCCTCTCCCCTGCAGTGAGCACGCTGATTTCTCCCCAAGGGTTCACGCCTCCTGGGCTCACGTCTCCAGTGTCCTCCTGACACTCTATTACTATTTCTCTGAAACTCTGTCCTCTGTACCCTCTGTACAGAAACAGCCGCAGATTTAGGTCTCTTTCATTGTAAATTCTAAGCGCTATGTCTACGAACTGAGATGGAGTCGTCTCTGTGACGCCATCCACCTTTGTGAACTTTCTCCTGATGTCTGGGGCACTATTCATAATCACTGCCATCGTAGTCACACGAGCATTTTCTGGGGCAGTTGGATTTATATCTGTGTGAGTGGCGTAAGTCCGGATAATCCGCTCGAGGGGCTTTGATGCATCCTCATCAGTTCTCTGACCAAGCTCCAGAATTTTATTGAAATTCTTGTGCTTGGGAATTCCCTGCTTCAGCCCTACCAATAAGCACTTTTTACAGATCTCTAACATTTCCATTCCCCCCTCGTTGGGGTCCCAGTTCGGCTCTACCATCGGGACAGCCACCTCTGGTTCCGGGGATTCTACATCCTGTTGGTAGAGGTGCTCAGCCTCCTCCCTGGCTTTCTTGAGAACGCTCCTCTGCTCCGTCTGTGGTCAACAGTTTGCAACATTGACTGGGTATCTGCCCAGTTAGGGTGGTAAGAGAGGAAGACAGAGGGAACTGCCCTGCTTTCCGCGTATTCTTACTGCTAAAATGGGTGCCCCATCTATGGGAAGGAGAAGGCATGTTAGTTTCTTCTCCAGGGGTGGCTGGAGGGCTGTGAAGCCTTAGAAGCTTCTACGGGAGGGGCGCTGTCCTGCAGAGAGGATTCTGTGCTGAAGGGTTTAGGGTGTTCAGCAAATGATAATCCTCCTCTCCCGACTCCACCCTCCTGCATTTTGCTGCTGCATGTTTTGAGTAAGAGCGGGAATTTGTTGCAAGTTTGCAGCAGAAGAAGCAGCCTGCGTCCACTTCCTCTCACAGAAAGGAAAATGTAAAAAATGATATTGATACAAAGTAGCAGGATGCCCGGAAGCACAGACTACAAAACAGGAATGGCTTGGAAGTCACCCAGAGAGGAGACCAAAGCAACATTTGCCATAAACCTGCTTTCACCAGATTATTGACGTTTACAAAACTGGTGGTGATATTCAATGGGAAAAGGGTACTGAGACTTAAGGCCGGAAGAAAACGAACGATTTCAAGCTAGGGATAAAACCGCTCACACTCATGGTGCTAAACACAAGCGAGAGCTGAACACAAAGAAAAAAACCAAAACAAATTTCCCAAGACCTGACACGAAGGAGCCACGTGTCCTGCGGACCTAATGTGCTTACGGTGACCAACGCAGGGTACTTGGGCTGGTCAACCACGGGTGTAAGTTGGCCCCACGTGGGGCGCCAAACTGTTAACAGGGCACCCCCAATGTGAATTGGATAGCCAGTCTGTGGGTCCTCACCTGCACGCTTAAGATTCAATGGTACCGCCGATGCCCACAAAAAGGTGCGACAATGGGTTTATTTACAAGGAGAAGGTAAAGGAACAAGCCAGGAAAGAGGGAGAGAAATACAAGTTAACTAGGATGTCCTACCGGTCCTGCTGATTTGGACTCCGCCAGCACACTGAAAACCAATGGAGCGCCAAACGACCAGCTGTGAACCACCAGGCCAAACGACCAGCTGTGAACCACCAGGCCAAGAGACCAGCCACGAACCACCAGGCCAAGAGACCAGCCACGAACCACCAGGCCAAGAGACCAGCCACGAACCACCGGGCCAAGAGACCCCCAGAGGCAGCATATCCGGCTTTATCCCAACCTGGCTGCCCAGCTCCGCCCTCATGTCCCAGCCTGCTTCTCCTCGGTATTGATGGGATTTGTAGTTCCAGTGTCTGGGGTGGGGGCGGAGTCCATGAGACCTGGATCTGTTACCCTGTCACCTCCCGAAGTCCCTTCTCCCCTGGGATCCTGAGCCCCGGCTGACTGCCTTTCTCCCCGCCCCATCCATTATGAGCCGGGATGCTGGGACCCTGACCTCACTTCCCATCATCTTTTCCCTTGCCGCACCCTGGGGCTTATTACTACCGGCAAACCCATTGCGAGTGCTTACTGGAGCACCCCAACTCCAGCTGTCCCTGGGGACCCGAGGCCTCCCGGCCCTATGGTCCCACCGCCTCTCCGGCATCGCCACTCCTTGCCTCCTCCTCG